TCCATCCACTCTTGTTGCTCCAATTTGCAAATATGTTAGGCTCCCTTTTAATTTTGTTTAGGCAACCAAGGATGTCGTTTGCATTTTTGGAAATAGCACGATTAGATTTTTTTCTTCTTGTAATCGGGATGTTTAGGCTAGTTTACGCACACCTCAACTAATTTTCGAGATCTTAAACATCCAACAAGTCTAAAGACAGGTAAACCATAATGTTATTGTAATAGGTGGCCCTAAGGTTTGAATCCAGGAACTTAAAGAAGGAAGTAAACCTCATTCACCGTGAGATACAATCCTGGGTTGTGCGTGATTAGATTTCCAAGTCCCAAATGTCGTAACTCCTAATAAAGATAATTTAATCCAATTCATTAAAATTGCTGTTATATGCGGGTGATGGTTAAGTTTCTAGGTAGGTTTGTATTAACTGGATCTAAATAGCTAATGGACCCTCAACCTCCAGTGTCAAATGCTGCCTCCTTTACCCGAACCATTTTCTCTTATCATTCATTAACCTAGCTCATGCTCATGACTTTTTCAAATGAAAAGCTGAGAATTCAAGCTATAATCTCCTCCACATATTTCATTCACTTTATTAATGAAAAGTACATGTGTCAAATTTTAGGTCAACAAAATAGAATTTGTTTCCTAGTGATGCAGGATGTAACAATTTCAAATCCCCACCTTATTTCCTCTCGATTAGAGGGAATAAAAGGCTTTTATAAGGCTAATTTCGATGGCCATCTAAGCGCAAATATCTTTTGTGAAAAAGTCTCAAATTCATGATCTTCTATTGCGCGGCTTGCTTAAGAAGGGAAGTTATAAGCAACGTTCGGAGCAAGACTGACTACTTTTAGAATACTTTACTGAAACAAATGAAACCAATATTTCTATTTAGTTATAGAAACACAATCTTTATAACTGAATCTCAAATTTATTTGCTACCGATGTGGGATGTAACAAGATGATTATATGTGACACAATGCATTGTATCAGCACACAGTAGAAAGTACTGCAAAAGGCTGTTTTTGATATCTACAAGTTGATTAGAACAGCGCAATATCAAAAACATGAATCCACTTGAAGATGCCACAAATAAAAGGAGAAAAGAGTAAGAGAAGCAAAAATATCAAGGCAAGTTCAATGTCAAAGAAAAAAAAAGATGGGATGCCTCAATTAGTTTCAAAAGTGTTAAAGGGAGAAATAATTCTGGGAAAGAAGATAGTGACCTGAGAACAGAACCAATAATCCAATAAGTTAGGCAATAGCATCCCCACTGCCTTTATTTCAACATTTTCAATATCTAAATTATACTGTTGTTACCTGGCTATGCCTTGTCGTTTTGCTTTAGTCACATCACCATGACCCTTCAAATTTGCTCTATCAGAAACAAGTGATTTACTATCTCAATTTGGTTATTCTAATTTCATATTAGTGTCAAAACTTCTAAGCTAAGAATATATTTTTATTAGTGGAGAGTGCAAAGAACAGTCTCATGAACCACTAGCCTTCTGGTCGGATGGTAAAACTTTAGTCATGTGGATAGATTATCCATAAATTTTGTATTCGAGTTTCACAAAGTGACCATCTACCACATTTGTGATTTCTTAGTTCATTGGACTTTGAAAGTGTTCAATGAACATTAAAGGTTAGTTGAGATGCATGTCAAATGGCTCAAACATCCTGATAATGAAACAAAAATAGTTTATGAATAAACACAGAAACCTTAAGAAAGGATATGCATTGACAAAGTTATGGAAATAATATCCAACTTGTTACAAAACATGACAATCAAAATCATGTACCTTCTAAACTTAGTTTTCAAAATAATCAAAAGTCTTATATCACAGTATTTATATATAAATTCATTTATAAGATTCCATTGTTTATTTAAAATTAACTAATTATAAATGGTAAAATAGAAAATAAATGTATAAGTGTTGAAATACATATAGATGATATGATATGCTCATTTTATATTTTAATAGATCAACAAAATTAAAGATACAATGTTTATAAAGTTAAAAGTAAAATTTATGTAGGAATAAATCCATAAATTTCATGAACTTTGGACTTTCTAAAAAATGATTAAGCAATATGTATGTATGATGTCACTTATAACCCATTACTAAATGGACCCCCGAAATTTAAAAACTTTATCAATTATACCCCTTTCCTCTAAGTCCATTACATTGTGATTAGGTTTACAAAACACTTTCTTATAAAAGAAAGTTACCAATTTACCCTAACACATGCTTATAAGATGAAAATTATCATTTCACGCATCTACCACAAACAACAATATACTGGGTAGGGATGACAATTTTCCCTATAGGGACGGATCCCCACTTATCCCCTCCCCAGACTTCTCATTCAGGGAGGGGATTTAAAGTTTTAAACTAAAATTTAGGGGATGGAGATGAANAGACCTTCAATTCCTGGAGAACATCTCTTAATTGCCAAATCAAAATTTATGAGCATCCCAAGGACAAAAGTTTTGTTGATCCCAAACATTCTAAGATTAATATATGGGAAATCATCTGTTTGTTCAAGAAATTTCAGGCTCTGCCCCCAGGAGATTAAGCTTACAAATACTGAACCAATTTTTTTCAAGTCATTTTAGTTATTACAGTTTACAAATTGATCAACATAATTTAATCAAAGCTATATCAACATTATTACATACCATGTATCTTGTTGTAAATAAATTTAAATGTATAGTTCCTGTATGTGGGCATGTTCAATGCATATTCACTTGCTCTACAATAATGCAATTCAAAATCATAATCTCTATTATCACTATCTGGTGCAGATTCCTTTAATAGATATGGTTGGGTAAAACTAAAACATCAATTTTGTTTGATTAGTTTCATTTATGTTTATGTTTATCTCATTATATATTTTATATAAATTTAAGGTCAGATTCGTGGCTTACTCATGTGTTTATCTTCATCATAGGTCGTCAATGAATAAATTAACATAAAAACTTTGTCATAGGATTCGGCATCCTAAGTTGCTTAATTAGGCTTTCAATAATGCAAATGGTCATTTTAATTATCATGAGAAGTGATTCTATTTTATCTTTATATGTTTGCTGTCCCCTTTTCATTTAACCTCTTTTTGTTATGCTTTTGCCTTCATTTCAACTCCACGTGGGGACTGTCGAGAAATCGGGGTTACATATCCACACCTTATTATTATTAATATAGTAATACCTCCAAAATTATCACTAGAGTTTGTGGATTTTATTTGTGGTAGCACAAATAGTGAAGCTAATTACTTGATATTTACAGATAAACAAAAAAAAAAAAAAAAAAAGAGTAAACGACTTTTTCCCACCTAAGGTTTGCCTTAATGACATTTTTCTACTCAATAAGTTTCAAAATACCATTTTCTCACCTAAAGTTAATATTCTATTACTACCTAAAGTCGATTCTGGTGTCGATGGTGAAAGTTCTCTCACTCACCACCATTTGAATCTCCGGTCCCCTCTCTACAAAACTTCTCTCATTCCGATACTTGATTTCTCATCGATTATTGATCAACGCAAAACTAGAGTTTCTTGTTCTTAGCTAATTTCTGACTGATTCCGACGACGAATATTCAATCGATCACTATCATTCGATCTACCAACCTTTACTCTACAAAAAACCTCTGACCCTGACTCTCGGTAACTCGTTGAATGTTGATTGAGAAAGTGAAATATATTTTGAGTATTAACGGAATATAAACCTCTTGAAATGATTGAAAATATTGTATAATGATGTTAATACTATCCCAATCATGTTTTGAACGACCCACCAAGTGATGTATAGTCATAGACTTAAACAGTTTTATGATAATTATTGTTAAGTTAATTATTAAAGAATGGTTCCAACAAGAAGATCCATGTTTCTCTAATCTTATACATTATCTCTTGCCCACCACAAAACATGCCTACGATCAGTTACTTGTATATCACCATTACATGATTTAATTAAGATTTAAACATTCAATTATTCAAATCAACTAATTATCCTAATTTTTAAATCATAGAATAAGAAGCTTTGATTCGAATAGTGACAACAACACTAGTTTTATTTAATTTAATTATTGCTACCAATAATTCACCAACAACATTAATAACCAATCGCTATTACAATTTTATAACCACATTATTCAACAAAATTATTTAATAATTATATATTTTCTAATTCTCAAATCTTTTTTGGAAGTGTAACAGCTGATTATTCCTTACTTGAGAAGGAACCCTTCAAAGTTAGTTCAACTAAACCAATGAAATAAATAAATAAATTGAATAAAAAGTGTTAATAAAAACGCGGAAATTAATATTTAAAAAATAATTTTAGCGGAGGTGTTGACGTGTTTTTGACTAAAATATTAATATTAACATCGTGTAAAACCTGCAAACAGCCAAGTCACAAACAGCCGTCAGCCGTCTATCTAGAATCTTTAGTCAACAAATCCATTCGCCGGCCCTGATTTAATCCCTCTCCTTCTCATGTGTACGTTCACTTCAAATTCAAACCGTACACCTCACCTAATCACAGCTCCCCCTTAACGATCTGACACGTTTCAAAAATCAACCACATCATTGACATGTTAAAGTCACAGCTGCGCCACTCTAGTATAATCTCCACCACACGTAAATCAAAGAAGACGTGTTCGAAAAGGAGTCGAACTAAACCGACTTGACCGACCATATCGCCACGTCACCACCTTGCAGCACACTCGTTACTTCCTACTCGCATCAGTTTTCGACACGTGTCTTTTCAAACGGCTAGTTTTTTCCCCCACTAAATTTAACCGCCAATAGATAAACACTTAAAAATATACCGTGTTCGTGATTGAACGATATTTTTCAGGAAATTTCCAGTAATTTCTGGCGCATAACACGTAGATATTTATTTTTACTTTTTTACTGCTTTTTAAAAAAAGTTAAAAAAAAAAATGTAATCTTTTTCTTGGTATAAAAGAGATTGCTGGACATTAAGAAGCCTATAGTTGCAAGCCGGTTCTTGTTTCCATTTTAACCACGAACGAGAAGAAAAACAGTTACCTGAAACATAGGTTTCGTAATCCATTTAAAAGATTTGTTCATCTTTTATTTTTAGTAATTTCATTTCAAGAATCATTTGGGTTTTTAGTTTCAAGTAGACAGAGTGTTTTGTGTTGGAGAAGGAAGAAAATGGCGTTGGGAAGAAAGTGCAGTTCATTGAAGACAAAGCGAGGTGTGAATGGTGGTGAAGTGGGTTTAGGGTTAGGGTTTGTGAAATCCACGCGCGGTTTGGGGAGGAAGAGGGTTTTGATAACGAATGTTGCTGAAAGTTTATTGTCTCCTGAATCGGAAATCAAGAACCCATTGAAGAGGCAATGTAGCCTGAGAACGATTGATTTGGAGTATGATGAGAGATCTTTGTTTGAAGCCTTGCCTCAAGATATCCTGGTGAGTAGAGAGGAACAAGCTTTAAGTTTAATATGAAAGTAAAGCTATAGTCTTATGATTTTTTATGATTATTAATCAGAGTTTTTGGTTTTGATTTTTCAGATTAGGATTATTTGCGGCGTCAACCATGAAGATTTGAAGCAGCTTTTTCATGTATCTAAAGCCATAAGAGAAGCTGTAAGTGTCATTATATAAATGTTTTGTTCATTTATTTTGGGTTTTGATGTGTGAGTGATTCTGATTTTGATTCTTTTTGGTTCTGAAAAACAGACTTTGGTTGCAAAGCAATCTCATTTCGCATATAGCACACCAACAAAGACAAGAGTGTTTCGATCCTCAATTGATTTTGAGGAACCAATAGAATTGGAAGATGATATTGACGCACCAAATGCCCCAAAACAACAGCGGGTTTGCAGGTCGCGAATTAGTGGGAGGAAGCTTGCTGATGTTTCAGTGGCACTGTTTGCTTCACCCAAGAAAGGTCTTTTCGTGGAAGAAGAATAGAAATATTTTTTGTAAATAGATTGATTGATTACATTTGTTGTTGTAGATTCAAGTGAATAGATTAGAAAAGTGATACGGGGATGGTATCTGTTGTACATGAGTAGAAATCTTTACGGGCCAGTTTTCTTCAAAGCTTTGATTGAAGATTTGGGTTTGGCTTGTTCTGTATCTTTTTGTGTACATTAGAGATTTTTGTATGGAGGGCAGTCTAGGCCCTTCTGGTCTCATAAAGTTGTAATTTGGGGAGTGTTCTGTTGATTGTACCGAATGCCCTTTGTGATAAATGAAATGAAGAATGTTTCCACGGATTGATTTGATAACTCTTTTTTGTTTATTTCCATGTTATTTGGATGGATTATGTGTTGGAATGTTTGTAGAAATGCTTTTAGGGGAACGCGTTTTTTCTTGTTTGCACTTGAAGGAAAGATTTACAGCTTGTTAATTAGCATTAATGAGCAGCTAGTCAAGTTGGCTTTTTTCTAAAGCAATTGTGCATAATTGTAGCATTGACTGGTGGGAAAATTGAGAGGGATGAGAAAATTTAGGGCCATGATGGAGGGGAATGAAGAGAGTGAGTTTCTTTAAGGAAAGAGTATCTATGTGATATCCACTTAAGAACAGCTATTAATTGGTTGGACCTTTGCTTGCAATTTTGGCAGGCTTTCAGTTACCATGGAAAAGGTTGTGACACCAGCTGTAGTCTGGCTGAGTTCAAGGAAAACCCATTTCAGTTGTAGGAATTGAAAGTGTTTTGTTTGATGTATATTTGAAAAGCTTTAATGGATTTCCAAATGTATTCCAATCATATCTGTCTTGAAGTTATCATTTATAATGGGTATCTAGTTATACTTAAATTATAATGAATCTCAAAGTGGGGACTGTGTTGATTGATAAATGTGGAACTAGAATTCGGAAGGTGGGCAGTTAAGTACAATGCTGATTTTTTGGATACTTAAAACAGAATTATCAAGTCTTCATCCTTTACAAGTCATCAAGATTTCCTTTCCCCACCTAACAGTGACTGGTGTTCTTAAGCCAGATTTCATTTTGAGGCGCCGGGGCTGTTGGAAAGATAAATTATGTCGGACCCCTGTTTATCCCTATTGCTTTAACACATATAGTAATGGATGAATTTGCATTTTAGCTTAACAATCCTAGGAGCAAGAGGGCGTTTTAGCTTAACAATCCTAGTAGCAAGAGGTCAGATTGTGTAGCTTGATTAATGAGGATGATATTTATGTACAAAGCAAAGTTCTTACAATGAAACATATAATCTAATAGTATATGAAAGCAAATATCTAAACCAAAAGAAAACAGAGATTGAGCACTGGTAATCTGGGATCATAAAGCTGTCATATGCAGAAACTGGTGTTTGTTCCTGACATTACTTGTTGGTTGGAGATGATGAATGTCTTGTAAATAGTCTTGTAAACTGAATCCCATGTGTGAGTGCGACATGAAAATGATATATTACCATATCGTTTTTATTGGTTGCATAAGAACCTGGGTGTTTTTGTCCTTTTGCTTGATTGGAGAGAAAGAAAATAAAAACAAATAATATAGGCATTATCTGTATTTATCAAAGTTAATTCAAGAAAAGAGAGACTGTTTTAACTTTGGTTTTGTGATTTTCTTTGTTTGGTTGTGTTTGTATGAAGAAAGCAAAGATGGACAACATTGTAATTTATTGATTTGTACTTCTCTTCATTTAAATGTTTGATTGTAACATTATTATTATTATTATTAGTCTCTATCAAACTTATTATTATTATTGTTTGTTTAAAGAATAAAAACAAATATATGGCAATAGTTGATTCCATGGTCTTAACTGTAATTTGTGCTAAATTACAAATTACCCTCTCTTATAATATTTTGTAAATAAATTTAAATTAAATTAAAACTCCCGAGGATTGAAATTTTAGTAAAACCATCCTACTTTATCTTTAAATATTAATAAACAAAAATATTAAGTAAATCTAATTTATTTTATTCTATGTTTATCAGAACCTTTATCTAAATTAAAACCAAATAATTTTCAATATTTAAATTTTGATAATGATCGAAATTCACATGTCATCATCTAATTTGAAAATAAATCAAATTTAAATTAAGAGAAAATCAAAATCCTTTACTACAGTGGATTATAGGTATTACATAAAACTGGTAGGGCTGGGCTGAATTTTGCTGACAAACTATATGTTAGCTCATTATAGAAATTGGCCAGTCCAGTCCAATTCAACCCATCCAAGCCCAAATCTCAAGTCGCTTTAAATTTAATAGATGATTATTCAATTTTTATTTTTTATTTTTTTTGTTTCTCCATGTTAAACGCTCGACATTCACTCAGTGCTCTAAAAGCTACTCCATTTCGCGCTCCATTTCTCTGCGCGAAATTAAATTTCTCATTACAAACAAAATGGCGTTTACAAAACGCGAGCTCGCAAAAGAAGATGAACCTAAATGAGAGGGTAAGAAGTCGAAGGTTGATCAGACGGCGCCGGAGGTCTTGGGACCAAATTTTCAAAAGCAGAGCGTGGTGCTCAATTCTGATGATTGCGACTTAGGTATTTATCATTTTCTTCAGTTCTTCGCCTATAATCTCATTATTAATTGTAAAATATTAAGTTTTAAGAATTGTTCAATTAGGAGAATTCATTTGTTAATTTCTGGATATGTTAGATAGTTGACGTGTACAAGTTTTGATGCTTATGTCGTTTGAGTACTTACCATTGAGTCCAGTGTTCTGTTAAAGTGTTGAAATCACCAACGCTCATTATTACCGTTTCACTAGATTTTGTTATTGAAGACAATGGTCTTAAAGGTTCTGCCCTTCATCAAGAGGGTCTGGCTTATTGTTGGTCTGGTGCTCGTGCCAATGTTGGAATAACGGGAGGGAAGATCGTCTTGGTTGTAAGATCATTTCAACTCAGCCAGTTAGACACTCCCCTGTGAACGAAATAGAGGCAACAACAGGAACAAAATATAACAGTAAAACATATCAAACAGTAAACAAAGAAAATAACACACGCGATTTACCTTGGTTCACCCAATGTGGTCTACGTCCAGTTGAGTTAATATTATTGTAATATGCCTCACCTCTCTCGTTTACAATGAATGAATTGCCCTATAATTTGCTATCACACACATAACAAGAGAAAAGTATATTTATATACTAGGTTTAAAAGACAAAACCTAGTTTTACAAGGATTCCTATTCCTAAGCCCAACCCAATAAGAATTAGTAACTTAAAAGAAATCCTACAGCGGTTATACATGGAAAAGCCCAAAACCGCCTACGGGCTCGGGGCGCTGCCCCCGTGACCCCCGCCCGCTCACCGGGGAGAGGGGCACCCACCCGCTGACCGGGCAGCGGGACCCCCGAATGTGTCTGCGTTACCCATTAATGCTGAAGTAGTCGACAACTCCAATACCCTGATACAGCAACTGTGAGAATAGCTGCCATTATGGTATTTCAAAATACCAAGTGTTAGATTGCTTTTTGGACTGTTATGCAATTAAAGCAATAACAGTTTCAATTTTTAATTTAAAAATGGCTGTTATGCAATTAGTATAATGACAGTTTTTTGAGTTTTAATAGGGGAGGGGCAGTTTTATGGGTGGCTATTGTGATTTCAGCTGATATAATATTAATAAATTGGAGTAATTTGGCTGTTACTATATTAATAATTGGGAGAGTAACATCCAAATATTTTGTGTATAAAAGGACCGATTCCTTTTCATTTGTGAGATACTCCAATTGCTTTTGCTCCCATTTTCATATTGTGTCAAAACACTTTTTAGTTCTCATTGTTGGTATCATATCATCACTACTCGGTTACTTTCCTATTATTGTTCTAAATCTCTATTAGAGTGTGCAGTCTAAAAGGAGATTCATTATTGTCTCCTGGAGGTCAATCTGCTGTTGAGCTTTTTTGCACCACGAAGATTCTTCCAGTAGGGACGGAATTCTGATCTTAAGGACAGTGCTTTTGCACGCTTTGACGCTGCTGTCTTGCTGCTATTTCGCTGCTGTGTTCGTTGGTGTTTCACTGCTGTATTGTTGCTGTTTTGCTGCTGTCTCTCTGCTGTTTTTCCTGCGGTTCTCTTGCTATTTTCCTGCTGTTCTTCTGCTGTTTTGTTACTGTTCTTTCACTGGTTTGCTGCTGCTGTTTTGCTGCCAATTTTATTATTAAATTTCTTGTCGTTGTACAAACGGCAGAACCATAAAGCTCCCCTCTACTAAGACACAGAAATCTTGGAGAAACCGAACACGCCTTTGGGTTTGGGGGCACGGGAAAACTTTCTAGTGCTGGGAAATATTCGAATTTTGGTGGAAGTTCGGCTTTGGAGATATCATAATATGTGCTATAGATCTTGAAAGTAAACCATTGGGTACCATATGATTTGCTAAGAATGGAAAATGGTTAGGCATTGCAAAGCAATTTGATGCTGGTCTGAAGGGTCTTGGAGTTTCCCCAAAGAGAGAGCTGCACTGGCAATTAGCAGTATTTCCTCATATTTTATTGAAACATTTTGTTGTCCTAATGCAGTTATGTATTGAAGAGAAACTTGTTCCTATAGATGGCTATAAACCTCGGGCTTCCTCTCTTGACAACTGCAGCACGATATTGGGGCCTACTTGTTGTAAAAAGGACTGCGAAATGATGATGATGGTGGGTTTATCAGCTTCAGGAAAAACTACTTGGGCTGAGAAATGGGTGAAGGACCACCTGAGAACTGAGAAGTGTTATGTTATGCTTGGAACAAATCTGATCCTTGATCAGATGAAGGTTTTGGCTTATTCTTTGTACTAGTACTAGTAGGGTAGATAGACAAATAGTTCTCTTTGCTATGTGTAATCTTCTTTACAGAAGCAAGATTGTTTCAGGTTACTGGGTACTCCGTAAAAAACAACTATGGTGAATGATTTGAGCGTTTGATGGCTCAAGCAAATGTGATGTTTGACACCCTATTAACCAGGCTTCCGGGAGACATCACAATTATATTATTGATCAAACAAATGTTTTCAAAAGTGCTCGCAAACGCAAATTGAGATCATTTGCGGATTTTCACAAGGTAATTACTCAGGGTATTGCCTTTGTCTATGAGAAATTCATATGCAAAAGTTTTAGAAGTTCATCCAATTTCTTAATGGATTCATTTTCCCCCAATTCAGACTGCTGTTGTGGTGTTTCTGGAACCAGAAGAGTTGAAGGTTTGCTCTGATAAAAGATTTAAAGAAATGGGAAAGGAGGTACCAGCTGAAGCAGTAAACAATATGATAGTTTAGTGTTTTCATACTTGTAATTTGTGGTTTTATTATGACCTTTGTTATGTTTTTGGCAGCGAATTATGTATTGCCTTTGAGCAAAGATATGCCTGCTTCAGATGAGCTTTTTGATCAGGTAATAAATTAAGAACTCATACATACATTGTGGACCATCTTGGTCACAATGTTTAATGCTTTGGTTTCTTTACAAGGTTGTATTCGTTGAGCTTGACACAGGAGAGGCCTATAGAGACATTCGGATCAGATGAAGCATGCTCAATGCTCAGTATCCAGTCCAAACTTACAGACCAGTCAGTCTCCTCGTTCTCACAAAAGTTCATTTCAGGCCCTTCCTAGGCCCTCACTGACAAATCACTCAAATTTGTCAGGTTTTACATCCAGACCTTTATGATTAAAATCAGGAAATGCCCCTGTATTCATGTAACTAATGATGTTTCCTCTTGATTTAGTTGGTAGTGAAGACTGGCAGAGCTCTTATCCTCCTCCCCCCCCAATTAAACTATGGCTACCAAATGCCCAACCAACCCTTTTGTCAGCTTTTTATTTTTTATTTATTTTTTTATCATCATCTATGGTTCAATGTTGCTTTTCAAAAGAAGCTGGATTGCTGTCAGCTCTTTTATAGTTCTTGTCTTTGGCATTTGCATAGATTTTTTACTCGACCTTTTACAGAAGCATTAAGTCCATAATTTCTAGCTGATATGTGAAATGCTGCAGGTAAACTCAGTTTATCAGGGAGTTGGGTCTTATTCAGAGGCTTATCAAGGTTATCAAAATCATCCAATGCCTAGAGCACCAACTCGTTATGGAAATTATTTAAGTAATGAAAGAAGCTCTGTTCTAGAGACAGAACCCAATCCCATTACTCTGAGAATTATGGTGCCTCACCTCGGGGTAGAATTGATTCTTACCAAAGCTATGCAATTGTTGATCCCTACAGCAAACCCAGTTCTTGGATTGATCCTCATAGGACTAACATGGTTGAACCCTCTCCAATGGGAAGCATGGCGACTTCCTCATTCTCTCGCTGCACCTTTGGTAGACAATTTACTCCAACTGGAGGCCCCCAAGTTGATCTGCAGGCTCCAAGAGCACCCATATTTTTGCCTACTTGTTACCCTTCCACTAATGGTGGGTGTTCATATTCATTGTTTTCTGTATGCATTTTGTCATGCGCAACTGATTAGTTTGGAAAAATGAAGTTGGTTTGACTTACTAAGTGTTACAATATCATGCCTGTATCTTCTGGTTGGCCTTTTTATGGAAAATATAGATTATGATTTGTCATGTTAAATTTAAAAATCTATTTATATGCCCAGTTGTAGCTCAGAAGATGCTGGCTAATGTTTTAGTTTTAACATGGTTGTGTTGAACTGCCAAGTGGAAAACAGTTTACCAAATATTATGTCATATTTACACAAGTTATGAGGCAGGCAGATATCATCTGTTCACTCGTTCTTAAAATCTACTGATTGTCTTTGTATATCGTCATTTTCCTGTAAGGTTTCTGGTGATATCTTGTCTTCTGACTAGTTTATTTGTTGCTTTGGCATTTCAGGTTCACCTTATCAACCACCACCAATGAAACCTACTTATGGAAATTTTTCTGGTGATATACAGCATTCTGTAAGAAATGCCCCTCATTATCCAAGGAACCATTGACTGATGTATAGATTCAATGATTGTTTCTCTGAAGTTCCATTAGCAAAGTTCAGATACCTTCCATGAGGGGTGAAAAATATAGGGACAGAAGGGTTTGTAAACTGCTTTGACATCTGGAACCAAAGGTACATTATTTTTAGGTTAATTATCACTCAGATGACCATACTACTGGAAACAGAAAAAAGAATATTTTCCTCTTTTAGAAAAGAATTAACACAGCTTCTTTCTCCTGTTTTTTTTTTTTATTTTTTATATAGAGAACATTCTAACTTAATACTTGGACAGGGGAATGAGAAAAATAGGGCTTGTAACAGAGCTCCTTGTCGTTTCCTTGTTCTTCAAATTAATCGTCCGGTCACTTACTGTGTTGATTTTTGCATTTGGATCACTGTGATTTGTGAAATGGTTTTTGTCCGTGTATTAACTAGGTCAGGTCTCACGAAGTTAAGTGAACTTTCTGGTAGTGTTTAATGGACTAATTAGCATTTAAGAGTGATCCCCAATTTATGTAGTGTTAGGGCTAGAAGTAAAGGTTAGTTTTAGGGCCCATTTGTTTTACACCCAAGCACCAACAAAACCATGTGATAAGCCTCTGAAAGTCTCAATTTCTTCACCACCGATTCATGGGTTTGATCCCCACCACCACCATCCTTCCCTTACATTACACTTTTCTTTTCTTTTCTGTTGCAAGAAATATCCTACGTTATGGACTTTTAGGTACAAAATCCAACAGACGACCCAGATTCGTTGTCTGCCACAACCACCGTCCACTCCATCTTTAAAGCATGGTTTACCGCCGACAAACACCTCACTAGTCTTTTCATCTTATTCTTGATTGCATTACAGTCGTAAATACCATTGGAACACCAGAAATAAGTCAATCAAACAGCTAATGTTGAGCTTACTGAATGAAAAACGCTTCAATACCAATTGTTAACCTAATGATTAAAGATTTCATTTATAGTATTTTTGTACCGACTGTTTACTCTTTCAAGTAAATAGTATGTTCTGGAGCTCTCTTTTCTTGTGCAAGTGCAACCGAATAAAATGCTCTCACTTTGGTAAGATATAATAAGTATTCTAACCCATATCGTACATTAAAGCTTACAAGGAGTAGAGGACCATATGGTTAAAGATGATTGTTCTTTCATTTCCTCGAATCATAACTCTGCATGATTTATTATTTTCTTGGAAATGAAGCTATATATTCTTATTGGCATACCCATAAATCTATTTTATTATTATTATTATGGGAGAGATAAAGAAAGAAAGAAAGAAAGGTTTCGTTTCCTTCCTTTCAATATCAGACCAACCTAACTCTGAGCAAGTTTAAAGAAGCTAAAAAGACAATACTTTGCATTTCTTTCCACAAAATGGCCTTTTTTTTGTGGATAGCTACTTATCTTTATGCAGATCATGTGCCTGGTAAGACATCCATCCACGCTTGTTGCTCCAATTTGCAAATATGTTAGGCTCCCTTTTAATTTTGCTTAGGCAACCAGGGATGTCGTTTGCATTTTTGGAAATGGTGCGATTAGATTTTTTTCTTCTTTGTAATTGGGGTGTTTGAGCTAGTTTATGCGTACTTCAACTAATTTTTGAGATCTATTAAACACCCAACAAATCTAAAGGATCAAGTAAACCATAATTTTATTGTGGTAGGTGACTTTAAAATTTGAATCCAGAAACTTAAAGAAATAAGCAAACCTCATTGATCGTGAGGTCAATCCTTGGTGTTGCGTGATTAGATTTCCAAGTCCCAAATGTCGTAAATCCTAATAAAGATAATTTAATCCAATTCATTAAAATGGCTGTTATATGCCGGTGCTGGTGAAGTTTCTAGGTAGGCTTGTATTAACTGGATCTTAAATAGCTAATGGACCCTCAACCTCAAGTGTCAAATGCTGCCACCTTTACCCGAACCATTTTTCTCTTATCATTCATTAACCTAGCTCATGCTAAATGACTTTATTTACAAACGAAAAAGCTGAGAATTCAAGCTATAATCTCCTCCACATATTTCATTCACTTTATTAATGATAAAAGTATATGTGTCAAATTTTAGGTCTAACAAAATAGAATTTGTTTCCTAGTGATACAGGATGTAACAATTTCAAATTCCCCACCTTATTTACCTCTCGATTAGAGGGAATATGAGGCTTTTATAAGGCTAATTTCGAGTGGCCATCTAAGCGCAAATATCATCATTTAAAAGAATATTTTTGGTGTAAAAAGTATCAAATTCATGATCTTCTATTGCACAGCTTTCTTAGGAAGGGAGGTTATAAGCAACGATCGGAGCAAGACTGACTACTTTTAGAATACTTATCTATAAAACAAATGAAACCAATATTTCTATTTAGTTACATAATCTTTATAAACTGAATCTCAAATTTATTTGCTACCGATGTGGGATGTAACAACATGATTATATGTTGACAAATACATTGTATCAGCAACCACGTAGAAAGTATTGCAAAAGGCATATTGTGTATCTACAAGTTGATTAGAACAGCGCAATATCAAAAACATGAATCCACTTGAAGATGCCACAAATAAAAGGAGAAAAGAGTAAGAGAAGCAAAAAATATCAAGGCAAGTTCAATGTCAAAGGAAAAAAAAGATGGGATGCCTCACTTAGTTTCAAAAGTGTTAAAGGGAGAAATAATTCTGGGAAAGAAGATAGTGACCTGAGAACAGAACCAATAATCCAATAAGTTAGGCAATAGCATCCCCACTGCCTTTCTTTCAACATTTTCAATATCTAAATTATACTGTGTTACCGGCTATGCCTGTCGTTTTGCTTTGGTCACATCCCATGACCCTTCAAATTTGCTCTAATTTAATATCTGTTGTCAAAACCTCTAAGCTTATGTAGGAATAAATCCATAAATTTCATGAACTTTGGACTTTCTAAAAATGATTAAGCAATATGTATGTATGATGTATTAAACCCATTACTAAATGGACCCCCGAATTTAAAACTTTATCAATTATACCCCTTTCCTCTAAGTCCATTACATTGGATTAGGTTTACAAAACACTTTCTTATAAAAAAGTTACCAATTTACTCTAACACATGCTTATAAGATGAAAATTATCATTTCACGCATTACCACAACAACAATATACTGGGTAGGGATGCAATTTTCCCTATAGGGACGGATCCTCACTTTCGTTTGGGGAGGGGATTTAAAGTTTTAAACTAAAATTTAGGGGATGGAGATCAAAACCTATCCTCGAATTGATTTATGAGGAGGGGATAGGGACTGCCATCCCATCCTTGATCCTCAAAATAAATTTAATTTATTTAATTAAAAATATTTAAGGAATGTCTTTAAAAAAATAAAAGTAACCACAGCAAAGGAAAACTCAATTTTGTAAATTGAGTTAGTGAGTTTAAATCTTTATTATAATAATGTGTATTTATATTTCATTGAATTATATTGAAATTATTATTTTTTTTCATATGAATTTAGTTTCATTTTTACTTATTATATATATTTTATTAATCTTAGTGTAGATGTTGAAGTATTAAATTTCATCTTTTTCACTTTCAAAAACAAAATACGACAAAAATTAATATTAAAATTGATCAACATAAATATCATTAAAAACAAATAAATATTCATTTTATTATGAGGATCGGAGCTCTGCACGGATCTCTATCCCCATTTGAGGATCCCATCCCTGTCCTTGTATCGGCTAAATCAGGAACGGGGACGGGATCAAATACCCTTTCGGAGATTAGGATTGAGATGATAATCCGTGTCTTGATTATCGTCTCTAATAATAAAGTTAGAATAAAGATATAATTTGTCTTTGAAGGTTCCTTTGTTATATTCTCTCATTAATTATTATGCCTTATTACTCTCTATTAATTACGCACTCCAAAACCAGTACTCATAAAAAGCCTATAAACCTCTCATAACCCAAACCCTTTCTCTTTCTCTCTCTTTCTCCTCTTTTTCTCCTCTCCCTTTATAAAAAGTCCATCCCATTCTCAGTTTTCTTCCCTACACTTTCTTGACTCAATTTCTCAAATGACTTTAACTTTTCCTTCTCAAACTCTCTCTTCATCATCCTCCCTTTGATTTCCAATCTCCTCTCTCTCTCTCTCTCTCATGGAAGAAAACGAAAACGAAAACCAATTAAATGAAAATTCAAAACTCAATTCCGCCATCCCCATGAACAGAAATATTAATACATTTTCTTCCCGTGACGCACCCCCTCTCTTTTCGACTATTCTCACTCTGTATATTCTAATTCTCCTTTACTTCCCTCGCCTTTTCTTCAAACTCATTCTCTCTCCGGTTCTCATCCTCACTTTAACTCTTCTTCTCTCTATCCTCCGGTTCGGTGCAACACAAAAACAAGAACAAACCCGAACCCGAACGCCAAGTAACTGCACTTCTGAAACCACCGATCGATTATTTTCCGATTCTAATAATTCACATGATCGTCAAGATCACAAATGGGCATGCACCGAAACGCGTATTTTTAAAGCTGACCCGCGTTTCGAAGACTCGTTCGTTGAGTGGAACGTGAGGGCTCCTTTGGAAGTGATTTATGAAGCATATGAAGAAGGTGAAGAAGAAGAAACCGAAGGAAATAATAAAGATCCGAACCGGTTCGGAATTGAGAGGTACCCATCTTTGTCTTTGTACTACCCGGAATCAGATTCTGACTGTTCGTCGAACGGTGATCATCCGGGCATCGAAGAGTGGGGTTGGGCGTGGGAAGAGGAAGATAGAGAGGGGTTGATAGAAATAGCTCTTGATGGTGTTAATAGTAATAATAACAATAAGAGGGAGATGGAGTTGGATTCTGTGGGGAATTTTCATGGGGAAGAAGAGAAAAATTTGATAGAGATTGATATTTCAGGGGTAAAGCATGAAGAGAAATGGAGATATTCTGGGGAGAGTTAATTAAAGGTGATTATGTTTAATCATATTCTTTGGGAGATAAGGTTGAATGAATTTTGATAACGGGAGTTTGTTTACCGTTGTATTAAACCAACATTCAAAGTGCAATTAATCACATAATCCGAAGATTTAAATGTAGAGTCTATGGACTAATATACCCTCTTTTTGGCCTTTTTTTAAGGGTTACGTGGCAGGTTGTTTGTATTGAAGTGAAACTGACACCAAAAGGAAGAGAAAAATGTAGCATCATATTTTTTTATTTGGTTTTTCAGTTTTCATATTGGGAATTTTCTATAGTATATTAAAATTTTGGGTTTAAGTTTTAAACCCTTTTATGCAACATCTTGTAATTGTAATGAATAAAAAAAGACATTAAAAGAGATATATTGTGTTTTTAAATTCAAAAAGATAGATTGATTAATGTTAGTTGGAATGTAGTGGATGTTAAATCATAAGCAGTGATATTAATGAAATATTGAAGAAAGAAGAAGTTAAGTTGCCAACATCAAGCAAAGCAAAAACCTAAATTCAATGAATTAACCAGAAAATGCTGCCTTTAATCACTTCAATAACAATAACACAAAATTTGTTTTGTCTTTAAAAATTAATGGATTTTGATAGAGTAAACGACATGTTCCCCACCCAAGGTTTGACGAAATCTCAAGTTAGTCTCATTGGTTCCATTTATTCCAAATTCTCACCCTTAAAGTGACAGAAAAACGTTTGATGTAACGGTAAAGGGGTAAATTGGTCATTTTACATGGGCGGCGCACATTAGCAGACCACCGCTTCTAACAGTCCTCCGGCGCATGTTAGCAGCAATCGTTCCCGACGTTTTTCGCTCTTTTCCGGCAATTCTTCCACCCAAAATCACCATTGTCACCACCATTTGAACCTCCATCCTCCCCTCTACAAAATCATACCATTCACAACCCCTCATCACTCGTTGATCTCCGGCCATGGCAACGAAAAATGGCCGATGAACACGAACTCTCGGTCGGCGAATGACGACGAAACGGTTGCTGGGGACATAGGGGTTTTATAGATTTGGGGACGATGGTTGCATTGGTGGTGTCCAATTGGATTTTCACAGCCGAAATCCGGTGAAGAACACCAAAACCCTAAGTGTAACGGTGCCGACGATTGGAGGGGCAAATGAGTCGGGAACCAGAGGGGTTTTGGACGACGAACTATGGGGAAGGTGATGGAGGTGACTAGGGGGTTCGATTTCATCAGAAACAGCTAAGATCGGGCTGTTTCCGACGAGGGTGTATAGTGACCAAGGGTGTTTTTGATATAATTTGAAAATAAAATGGTAAGTTTTGTAATTCTACTAATTTAGAGGTTAAAACATAATTTATTAATTTAGGGTTTAAGGGCATTATATAATTGCACTCTCCAACCCTAAAAATTTATAACACTGTTACTTTAAGATAGAAATCTAGAATAAATGAAACCAGTGGTATTAACTTGAATTTCGTCAAACCTTGGGTGAGATATTTGGTTTACTCATTTTGATATTATTAATTGATGGGCCATCTTTATCTCGTTAACATCGCATACTTCAAATATTACATCAAAAGACAACCCCAGTGATCCAAGAAGGGTTAAAGCTTGTGTTTAAATTTCCAATCAACTCATTAAAACACACTTGCTAAATTCCTTGTACTTGAAATGGGCATGCATGTACCATAAATTGAAAGAATGGTCGGCTTCTCTCATGCATGTTTTGAGTTTTGCCTTTACCCACTGGCATGGTCCCAATTCCAAGAGAAGCTTATGTAGGCTTTGTTCCAATTGGGCCACACATTTCAGCCGGCCTGCTCTTGCTTAATCATTTACAGACCCATATTTATGGCCTCAGAGCCCATTGTTGATGGTGTTCTTTAACCTCTACTCATGCTCTTTACCAAGCACAAGTTGCAAAATTGTCAACACTCTTTTCCTTGTTGAATAAAAAATTGAAAGAAAGTATGTTTGAATAATCCATTAATGTTATATTAGCTTTAAAAGCATTAAACTTGTAACTAACAAATCATATATACCACCACAATTCAATGAATTTATGCAACCTCTCAAATTTTTTTTTTTTTTTTTTAATCACCGTCAATCTTTAAATTAATTGCGATTAGTAGTTATTAAAGGAATAATCGGCACCACTATGATACTATTGACATAGGTGGACCCACATTGGGCCTAGTGGTCAACAACCCCCGCTGAGCCCAACATTGTTTTGAACTTCTTTGTCTAAAGCTTTAATACAAAAGAACTTTATATTATATATATATATTATATATATCTCACAAATCAATACAAAGTAAAAATATTTTGTTGTAAAATGACATTAACTTATAAAAAATTACTAATAAAGATTAGTTAATATAAGTAAATTAGATATTTCTTTTTATTTTCTTATCTTATATCTTTAAAATGGAAAGAAAGATTTTAAAAAATCATAATATATGGACTTAATAACTCATGGTAATTATATTGATCCTATATATTATTAAATATCACAATATTAAATATATAACATAAATAGTTTAAGAATCAACTATACATAAGATTAGATCAATGAATTAAAATGGTTTATTATATATACAATAATTGGAAAAATAATATTACATTAATTATTTTTATTATTATTATAATTGCCCCCAACTCACACAAATAGATTGGCTTCACCCCTAACTATAGACTTTCTCAAATTGTAGAGTTAAATTTAAGACTCAACCATAAGGGTTAGCTTGCGCAATGAGTTTTCTTCATTCCTTGAATTCATGGATTCTAACCTTAAGGCCCTACTACAATAACATTAACTTATTTGGTCTTTTGGTTTTGTAGAGTATTCAATGAATCTTAGGAGTAGTTTAGGGGTCGCAAGCGGTCTGAAAAAAAAAAAAAAAAAAAAAAAAAAATTAAGACTCCTAATTTTTTTTTTCTTACACAAGTTTCATACAACTTTTTAACCCCTTAAATTAATACACTTGAATGGATGGACTGACATATAAATTATATTATTTTTACATTGTATTAAATGTACATGTTACAATGAATCTTGGTTATTCAAAGTGACAAGATCCAAAGATTTAAAACTTTTGACCTAATTTGTTGGGTATAAATATAGTATATAGTCTTCACATGATTTAGTAACATAAATAATTAGATATTGTGCAAATAAAAAAGATTTGAAAAATAAATATAATTTGTTTTTTCCCTTCTTTGAGGTGGAACATGGAGGCATGTGAAAAATGTTATTAAAAGTGGGATTAGAGTAATAAAACAGGGTCTTAAGATCTAAACTCAGAAACAGAGTGGCATGTTTCTAGAAATCAACAGCGGCGCATCTATATATGGATTCGGTATAATTTGTTGTGTGTGGCTTTGAATTCTCCATCTACTTAAAAAACTTTTTTGGCCACATTTCTTTCCAGCTTGGCTTTTATGGTCAAACACCAAAGCGTGTGATGTCATCATCTAACTAACGTTCAATTCCCTACTTTGTTAATTAAGGGTTTATATCAATTTGCTCCTCAAGGATTTCGGAAACTAACAAATCCACCAAAATATTGACTAACGTTAATGAAATTCGTTGTTTTACTCTATAAAAACCATATAATGCTCTTTCTATATTTATAATATTCTTTTTCAATTTTTATTTCAACTGTATGATATGATATGTAAAGAACTATATTATTTAGCAAGGCTAAGGAGATAATTAGTGTGGTAGAAAGATTCTTTGACTTATTCTTTGATACTTTTAAGATTTAGGTCTAGTCTCTTATATTGGATATTAAGTCTCATGCAGATTTGGCTTGGGCTAAACGTTGCATTTTTCATTACTCTTATTGGAGAAAAAACGATATTCAAACATTAATTTATCAAATTTCAACATCAAAAAAATGAAAAGGAAATAGAGATTTCATAAACCTAACATGTCCTATATTTTTTTGTGTTAAATTGATTTTTTATACTAAAATTAACAATTTAACATAATTTAAATATTTTGTGTCAATTCCAAAGATTATAATACCCAAATAATGAAAGCAACGTGTCATGTTTTCAACGTCAAACTTTATTCTGATAAACCTAGAAAAACAAAAAAAAAAACCAGATTTTTTAGAGTGCCCCCGTCAGATGCCGTTTGATTGGTCGGTGAAGGAATTTGATCAAGCGGTCAAGTACTCATCCATCGGTTGGTCCAATCATCAACACATAAAAGAGTCAAACTTTGACGGACCCCTTTGTTTTGAAGCAGATCTATTAAATCCACTGACTTCTGAAGATAACATAAATACCCCCCCCTTTTTTTTTTATTTCAATTATATCATTGCAATTGATTTCTGTTCAACAATAACATACCTAAAAATTGTGTTAAAATCATAAATTTCCATAACGTTGTGAAAGCAACCTTTAAATAGTACTTGTTTATCAACTAAAACACATATACGGATAAATGTTCCATCGATTGCACCAATTGCACTTACCAAAATTACTTAAGAAAATATATTTTTTCCACTATTTAATTAACAAAAAGTATCATATTTAAACCCACATGAGTATAAATCTCAATAAGCAAACTAGGATTTCTTGCTAAAATAAATTATATACCTTGTACATTTTTTCATGATCAAAACGACACATGGCTGCAATGACATAAGTTGATGTAATCATACATAGGCATATTATAAACATATATTCATTTTAAAACCTAAGAATTAACAATATTCTTAACCTATAGTATATAAACATATCACCGCATTAAATTCGTTAGATCTCATATCGCTATATTTATATTAACTATATTAATCAGTTTTAGTTCTTAAAATCGTATACAATGAAATATGAGATTATGTGTATTTTAAATCTTAAAAATAGAAGATTTTGTCTCAGCTACCATTAGTCATTTACCCTAAATAGTTGTGAAACTCAGGGGTATTAGTGTCAGTTTTATAAACTAATGGGTATTCTTTAGTAATTTTCGCTGTTTGTTTAAAACACCTAAAACCGAAGCACAGCTCCAGCGAACAAACACGCCTCTGCAACACACACGTGCCGCCATTTCCTTGCCCGCCAAGTCAAGCAAGAAAATCGGAGGCAAACCAAACCTGACAGCGTGGCGAGATTCACACTCTCACACCCAACACGTTTATTTTCTTTTCTTTTCCTCCCACCAAGTTGGATTCTTTATTTAATTTCCATTTTTTGTTCTGCTCCTTTCTTGTCCGCCTTTTCTTCTGGTACTTCCTAGAACTAACCTTACACCACAAACACCTCTCTTTCTCTGCAAAACGGGAAATCACTTTCGTCTTTCAGAATTTCCATTTTTTTTGGTGTTAGAAATGCGAAGTTTTACGTTCTACGAGAGATTTTCTAGAGCTTTCCATGATTATCCTTCTCTTTCTAAGCTGATTATCATCTCCACCGTCAGGTAAACTATCTTTAATTTTCTTTTTTTAATTAGTCTGATTCGAGTGCAGAGTTTCATTTTGTCTGTTCAGCTAAGAATCAGTCTGTTTATTTTTATTTATTTATTTATGTTATTATATTATTTAACTGCAAATGTTACGAAACATAGGCACAATAGATTTGCTTGTTGATCTATTTGGAAAAAATTTCTTGCTCTTTGAAACAGCTTAATTGTTCTCTGTTACAACATTATAATACTTTGGTTGCTTTATTTTTCATTTTCTCTGTTTTTGAGTTTGGTTCTGTTTTGTTATTTTTGTTTAATTTCATTCGCTACTCATTGTGTTTGTAGAAACATAGAGATCTGACAGTTACTTATAGAACACAATTCAAAGAAAGATTGATTGCTGTAGAATGACATTAGTAGATATAGCAAAAAGTGTTAGCACAATTATATTTTAGTATAGTTTTAATGTTCCTTTTGATTATAGTTACTTGATGCTATTGCAGTGGGGGTGGCCTTATTGCTTATTCCGAGGCTAATGCATCAAGTGATGCATATAAAGCTGCTCCAATGGAAACGGGAATCAAGAAAAAGAAGGTGGTGGTACTTGGAACTGGTTGGGCAGGAACTAGTTTCTTGAAGAGTCTCAACAATCCCTCATACGATGTTCAAGTGATATCGCCTCGTAATTACTTTGCATTCACGCCGTTGCTGCCAAGTGTTACATGTGGTACTGTGGAAGCTCGCAGCATTGTTGAACCTGTTCGTAACATAGTCAGGAAGGTAATATGCAGAGCACATAACAATGACACATCAGTAACATTTTAAGAAATCTTTAATTTTTGCTTGGTGCATGCTCATTGTATTTTGATTTGATATTAGTATAGGGATAATTTACTTTCTCTATGGGTCATTGTCAATTTTTTTTTTTAATGTAGTTGACACAATGTTCCTTTTGTTATTTCTCTGAGCAGAAAAATGTTGACGTCTCTTTCTGGGAAGCTGAATGTTTCAAGATTGATGCACAAAATAAGAAAGTTTATTGTCGATCTAATCAAAACACCAGCGTGAATGGAAATAAAGAATTTGCTGTGGACTATGACTACCTTGTAATTGCAATGGGAGCTCGTCCTAACACATTCAATACGCCTGGTGTTGAGGAGAATTGCCATTTCCTAAAAGTAATTTTCCTTGCCAGTCCTGTTGGTTCATGCTTGGCTGTATCCTTGTGTACATATTATTTCCCAATTTGCAAAACAGCTTCCTCTCGTTAAGATCTAAAACCAAGTCATGCAACATTTCTGAACTTTCTTTTTGTTATTTTTTCTCAAATAAATAATATTTTTTCGTCTAGGAAGTTGAAGATGCTCAGAGAATCCGCAGGACTGTTATAGATTCATTTGAGAAAGCAAGCCTTCCTGATCTAAGTGATGAAGAGAGGAAGAGAATTCTTCATTTTGTGGTAGTTGGTGGTGGACCAACTGGGGTGGAGTTTGCTGCAGAGCTTCATGATTTTGTAAGTGAGGATTTGGTGAAGCTATATCCAATGGTCAAAGAATCAGTTAAAATAACCCTTCTCGAGGCAGCAGATCATATTCTTAACATGTAAGGATGTGAACTTCGAAATCCTTACCGTCATCAATTTTTAGTTTGTTTTTTTATGATGCATTCATATTTCGATTGTGTTATAACATAAAAACCTTACCTCAGTCGTTAAAATGTCTTTGTCTGAATATCTTTGAAGTCGGACCTCAGGAGTTTTACATAATTTTAAAGATCTAAAGTATGAATATGATCTCCCATTTTCATCCCAGGAGAATTCTCTATTGTCAGGAAAATGATAAAATTCATTTTATGTGCCTAAGACAAGTCTATTTAAAATAGAAACCATCCTTTTTAAAATTAGATTTTCTGCATTCTTACACTTCGAACTCTGTAAAATTTAAGAATCTGAAATTTTAGAGACGCACTTATGTCATATAAAAAAAACTAATTATGATGCCATGGACTGTCGTCATTCCTGCTGAAATTCTGCTAAAGTTTCAAGTTAAATATTTTCGCACTCTTATGAGTTGAAACTATAAATCATATGTCCACTGTTCAGAGTCTCATTTATCACAAATGTGCATATGCTAGATCTAAGTGTAAAGTTCAATTAGTTTGTTTTTTCTTTTTTGTCTGAATATAAGGTCAATACGTTTTGCTTTTTTATTTGCATTATAGTTTACCAATGCCTGTTGATTTTCTTGTTTTGCAGGTTTGACCAAAGAATCACTGTTTTTGCTGAAGATAAGTTCCAAAGAGATGGAATTGATGTGAAACTAGGATCCATGGTTGTTAAAGTAACTGATAAAGAAATTTCTACCAAAGTAAGAGGAAATGGGGAAACTAATTCTATGCCATATGGAATGGTTGTCTGGTCGACAGGCATTGGAACTCGTCCTATTGTAAAGGATTTCATGAAGCAAATTGGTCAGGTGTGCTAGTTTAAGAGTCATCAACTTAACTATTAGTTGCTCCACTATCTTAGGTTCTATCTTTCAATGTGATTTCAGTTTCTGTTCATATGAAGCAATTTCTTATTGGTATTTATCATACTGGCTGACCAAATAATGTGCGCTCCCATGAACACAGACAAATAGGCGTGCTTTGGCTACTGATGAATGGCTGCGAGTTGAGGGATGTGATAATGTTTATGCACTTGGTGATTGTGCAACAATTAACCAGCGCAGAGTCATGGTATCTTTACTTTTTTACCATCTCAATTCACTTTTGATTATATAAAGTCTTATGATTCTATTTCTAGATATATTTTTCACACTAAATTTTGTTTGAATATTTTTCCCTCATCTCAAAAGAAGCTAGAACTCCAATTACAATGGTTGCTATACAAATACAATTAAGGAATTTGATTGCTTTGACCTTCTGATGAACTAATTTTCCAATGTTGAGTTTTTAGGTCTTGCTAATACTTACCCTTCTTGTACTAAATTCCTTTCAGGAAGATATCGCAGCAATATTTAGTAAGGCAGACAAGGACAATTCTGGAACTCTTACGGTAAAAGAATTCCAAGAAGTCATTAAGGACATTTGTGAAAGATACCCTCAAATGGAGCTTTACTTGAAGAACAAAAAGATGGGAAATATTGCTGATATGTTGAAGGAGGCCAAAGGGGACCTTGCCAAAGAAGCCATTGAACTGAATATCGAAGAATTTAAAAAGGCTCTTTCTGAAGTGGATACTCAGATGAAAAATCTACCAGCAACAGCACAGGTTTTACACTGATTTAATTACAGCATATCTAATGACATCTGCAAGACATGCCTCTTTAAATATTCATCAAGCTTGTCTACTTAATATTTATCTTTCACCCTATGTTCAGGTCGCAGCTCAGCAAGGTGTCTATCTTGCCAAGTGTTTTAACCGAATGGAAGAATGTGAAAGAAATCCAGAAGGACCTCTCAGGTTCAGGGGATCAGGCCGCCATCGGTTTCAGCCATTTAGGTAGATTTGATTCTGCCCTTGTCTCCAGATAATGCATAAAACCTTTATAGTTAGTTTCCTACTTTTAAACTTCACAATTAATCCCCTCCTGAATCTGGTATTTAAATTGCAACTTGAGAAACATTTTTCTTATGAGGTTTGTGGTGACGATGTAACCAGGTATAAACATTTAGGACAATTTGCTCCATTGGGAGGGGAACAAACTGCAGCACAACTTCCTGGGGATTGGGTTTCTATAGGCCAAAGTTCCCAGTGGCTTTGGTATTCAGTCTATGCAAGGTAAACTTTTTTATTTTGTTTTTTTAATAATCCAGAAGTTCACGGGCTTTAACAAGCCCGAGTATCCGTCAAACCTTATATTTTGAATTAAACAACTTAAGGATTCAATTTAGACGGTGTTTTACTCTGTTATTATTTGTTTTTGAAAATTCAGTAAGCTTGTGAGCTGGCGCACAAGGACACTGGTGATAACCGACTGGATGAGGCGTTTTGTTTTTGGAAGAGATTCAAGCGGCATTTGAGTTGAGCCACAGCCGCACAGCTTACAACTACTGCTCCAAGAGTTTCTGATTGGCTGAGTCAAAAGCAACTTTTGTCAACCACACTTACTATTTGGAAAAAGAAATTCTCTTTTTTTTATTTGTTATATAATAATTCACAAGTTTAGCCCCCTTGGTAGTTTTGCTATTTACCAGAACTTTTGGGGTCAATTGTTCTAATTATTTTTTTACTTGAGGTGTCACCACAATTTTAGAATTGTGGGTTCCCCATATTTTGCCATTGATATTAAAAATATGAATAAATTTTCATCTCAACCTTTGGATACGACAAGTCGCATCACAATTCACAAGAAAAGAAAAGATATTTGGATGCTCCGCCAGCTTTTGGCTTAATATGTGTACTCTCCATTATTCTTTTGTTCCTTATCGCTGATTTAGGGCTACTTGTATGATTTGTTTATTCTAAATTTATTGGGTTTTAAAGATGTGATTTGATTTGATTTGGCCTCTGTGCTATAAGGGTTCGATGAATGACTTGATTTCAAGTTAGGTATATTCCCAGCAATAATGGATGATCTATTGCCTCCCCATGAATGTAGTACGTCTTAAGGTTCAGTTAATAGCATTATTCCAAAAAAAAAAAAAAAAATTATAAAGGAAAGGTAACGACTTTTTCCCACCAAGATTTGCCTAATCCTTTTCTCACCCAAAATGTTTCAAAATACATTTTACTACCCAAGTTTATATTTCATTTCTACTCACATAATTAAGCTGGGATTTGGATCGGGTCTAAAAACTCAGTCTTAGGATCCGGCCTAGCAGACTTGGTCCCAAACCGACCAGGCCTAAGGAGGAGGGCCCGGTCCCTCCACGGCCTCCTCCAAGGCCTGGGCCCAAACCCTTTTAGTTTTTTTCTTTTATTCCTTTATATATTATATAAAACCCTTTATAATTTGAAATATACATAAATTATAGGGTTAAAAGAAATTTACAAAATTTAAGAAAAAAATAAAAAATGGGGGGGGGGGGGGGGGGGGGGGGGGGGTGGGGGGAGGTTTTTTTATTTTCATTTCATCCCCCACAAGGCCACAACTACACTATAAATATCCCCCAAATCTCTCATTTTTTTCACACCACTCAATCTCTCTACTCTCTACTCTTTACTCCAAATCTCCAATCAAATTCTCATTCAATTTATATTTATATTTATAATTTATTCATATAATTTATTTATATTTTTCTATTTTTCAATATCATCTCTTATTCATATTATTATTTAATTTTTTCATTTTAATTATTTATTATTTTATCATAAATTCATAATAAAAAAAATTATTTAATTGTTTATTTTTGAAGCGTGAATGTGTGAATATTACATTTATGTTAAAATTAACTATTAATTAATTTATTATTTTCTAAAATTAACTAATCTACCCCTGAAAATAACTAAAACCCCTTACAAAATTTCATTTCGCCCCTAAAATATAAAAAAAGATAAGGGGGGAAAAGAAATTTTGCAAGCCCATAGGATCGGTTCGGGTCCTAAAATTTCTCATGGGCCTAGGACCTGTCCCAGGCCCATTTGGGACTGGTCCTTGACTAGGTCTAGACAGAATACAGTTCCTTTTCGGCAACGAACGGAGAGAAAACTTGGTTCAGATTGTTGAAGCTTTTGAAAAGGGGATGTTAGTGAGTCTTTTGGTGGTTAGGATTGGTCAAAATCTGACTTGGAGGCGTGATTGCACGTTCCACAAATCGCTCGATTGTCGGTGATTGACAGGGTTGGCGGGAATAATGTTTGAGGGGTTTTGGTGAGTGATGATTGAGAAAAAGAATGGTGATGATGTGTGGTCGCAATGATGCCAGAATCGACTGGTGATTAGTTCGAATATAAACTTTGGATAGTAAAGTGGTATTCTGAAACTTTTTTAGTGGAAAAGTGTCACTAAGGAAAACCTTGGGTGGGAAAAAGTCGTTTACTTTAAAGGAAATCTAGCAAATTAGATTATCTAAGGAAGTAATTCTAATTTCATCCTAATTGACAAGCAATTATTTAGTAATTAGAAATGTTTTAAAACCCGGCATGGCCCGGCCAGTTTAACTGGTTAAACCGGGACCCGGAAGCTTCAACGGGTCGGGTTTATATTTTTCCTATTCACCCACATCCCTAGGATTTGGGAGGATGATCGGTGAACAATTGACAGTTGGGATGTTGGGGCTTTTGAAGAGAAAGTGTCAATGAATGCAATGGTGGTGACGGCGTTGATTTCTGGTGAGTAAATCGACCAGAAATCAAACAAAATTGGCAGCCGCAACAATCGGCTTTTGCGAGCGATTGGCGAGGCTAACGGGGGTGGGGTGAGATGGGTTTTGGTCGGGAGGAAGAGGGGAGTAATTTCTGGGTGATAGGGAGGGTTGTCGTGTAAGTAATTGATCTGTCATACGCAGCGGAAAACAAAAATTCAATCGGTAAATCAATTACCTTTCTTTGCCTAGATCCGAGTATAGATTATACCATTTACATGTTTATAAACAAAAATCTGTATAAAGTAAATCCATTCAAGGATTAGAAAACTTACGTACGTTTGGAGGCTCCTTCGAATATCTCTGATTTCGGACAGGAACACTGTTTACGGTTACTGTTCACCGTCTATTGTTCACGTGATTTTTCGTCAATTGATCCAAAGTAGGATCGTACTCACGAAAATCCACACGAAGATAATCTGAAGAACCCTTGGTTTGCTAAATTTCAAACCTATAGAAACTTAACTATAAGTTTTAGGGGTGTATTTGCTGAATTTTAGAAGTTTTTGTCAACCGGTTAAACCGATCAACCCGGGACCTGGCAACTTTGCTAGGTTTCACCGCGAGTTGGGTTTTAAAACATTGGTAATTAGGACTCACGTTTAAAAGACAACTCAGTAGTGTAGGATATAATTATCAACACCACCATCATCATCATAATTGAAAAACATACATGGGTAACAATTTCATACATGAGGTTTGCTAATAACACTATAACAGGGACTAAAGGGTTACTGACGGAGATGACAAAATGCCCCACGGGTTTGGGTAAGCGCCTATATTGGGGCGGGGATGGAAGAGTTAATTCGGGGATTGGGGGTGGGTTTAGGGAGCAAATTAATTCCCCATATTAAAATGGATAGGGGATGGGTTTAGTAGTCCCCACCTCGAACCCGCTCCATTCCCCAGTAGAGAATTAAATATAAACTATTTATTTTATATAAACATAATACTAATTGGATTTAAATATAATAATTGTTAATAATATTAATATTTAATTATATCAACATTATCTAACTAGTTTTTTGTATAAGTTTGTTCTAAAATTAAGTTCATGTTTCTTCAAAATCAATGTATGCACACCATACATATTTTGATGATACAGATGAGGTATGTTTAACCATAATATTTAATTATTATAGAAACATAATCATTATAATGAATTGAAATTAATATATATTTTCTATTTCACATTTTATAGGAATAAAATCTTGATGATTCTTGAAGAAGAGAAATTAAAAAGATGCAAGGAAATTAGTGATATTGTGTCATATTATAATTTATTTTACAATTTAGTATTATTTTTCTTGTGATTTTTGCTATGACTTGTTTAAACTTTTCATTTTTATTTTTTTTAAATATTACTACTATAAGATATGGTTATTTTCATTTAGAACATTAATACTAAATAGTAGTAGTTTGTTAGTTTAATGTGATATAGTGAATTTATATTTAAATAAATTGAGAAATAGAGTGGGTTTGGGAAACGCTCTCCCCATGTGGGGATTCTCCATTCCTGCTAGGGGTGTGCAAATTTTTAGAGTAGAATAGGGGTGTATATGAGCCGAGCTGAGTATCTAACACTCGAGCTCGGTTCATGATTAACAGTGTCGAGTTCAAGTTCGAGCCGAGCTCTTTCGAGCTTGAATACTTGGGCTCAAGCTTGAGCTCGCAAGTATGGGTGGGTACTCGAGCTTGTGCTCGAGCACGAGCTCGAGTTTATTGTGCTCAAGCTCGAGCTTGAATACTTGGGCTCAAGTTGTTTGTCATTTTAAAAACTTGAAAATAAAAAAAAAAAAAGTTACAAAACTTGCAATTTGGCTATCCGAGCATGATGAGGCTTGCGAGCCTATCAAGTCGAGCTTCGCCCGAATCGAACTTGGCTCCCCTTAAACGAGCCACTCGAGCTCGAGATCGACTCGATTGACTTCGAATCAAGTTCGAGCTTTTCACGAGCTGAGCTCGAGTAGCTCGCGAACTGCTTGACTCACTTCTCATTCCTAGAGTAGAAATAGAATCAACGGGTACCGAGGGTGTCGATTATGGTTCCTACCCGGAACCAATCCTCACACGGTCGGTTCTGGGTAGGAATTTGGTGGAATCGGTATTGTGTAGGTCTGGGTCCAATTCCCATTCCAGTTCTACTACTTCAGGAAGCGAGACCCAGACCTCGGTTCGGGGTAGCTGAAGTGCATTTGTAATTTTTGTAAATAGTTAGAGGTGTATTTGTAATTTTTATAGGGTGTATTTGTCATTTTTACTGATAGTAGTGGTGTATTGTAATTTTGTGTGAATAGTGTCAAGTACCCCTACCCAAAACCGGAACTTGTGGTTTAGGTTCTGGTTCTAGGTATTTAGGAATCAGAACTAATCAGGTCTGATTTCGATTCCCAAATCCTAGTAATTGTTGAGTTAAAGTCTAGATCTGGGTTCGGTTCCAAGGGATTGGGCTAGGTACCCGAACCCGCCAACCCCTAAACCTTGCCCCACTTAAATAATTTGAGGAATGGGGTGAAAAATAAAGGAGACCAAAATCCTAAGTGGGGTGGGGAATAGAGGGGCCTCCATGCCCTCTAGAACGACCCTATTGCCATCCCTAGTTATTGATAACGACTAAAACATTACTAAAAGAATTTATTGGACTAAAGTAGTGGTTGGATCAAACCTAGGGATGAAATAAATTTCCCAATATTGGTTACTCGGGATTTGGCTCAATCCGCATCTAATCAAAACATACAAGCAAACCCGATCATCATTACCTTCATAATTACCAATCTTAATCTTCAATAATCCATTTCCACGTGTCTAAACATGAGATATTTATTTGATCAAAGAAGTTGGGCCCATTTTTGTCGTGAAGCTCAATGCCACGTGTAATCACCCCACAACAAATACAAATACAATAGAGCCCTTTGGGGGAAGAATTA